CCTGGGCTTACCTGGGCTTACCAGGGCTGGATGTGGCCATGGGCAGGAAGTGGTTGTGGGCATATCTAGCCCTACAGGTTTCTCTGCCACCCCACTTCCTCCATATCATCCTTCTGCTCCCCCTCATTCCATCCCTCACCACAGATTCCCCATGACCTTTGAGGGAGGAGTCTTCCATAGTCCACCTGCCCCAGCCCAGGAAGAGGTATGGGCACCCAGAAAACCCATGGGGTTATGCTTCTCTCTCTCCTTGGGCCCCCCATCTTTGGTTCCAGGTCTCTCTCTGCTCTCCTCACCTCAGTTTCTAGGACAGAAAATGCCAGGGTCCTGAACAGGTGTCCTAGGTGAGGGCAGAGGTTGAGTGGCAGAGGAAGGACCTCTCCTCTCCACTTCTCCAACCCCCCTACACTGAAAAGGGGGAGGAAGGAGAGGTCTTCATTAATTAACCCCTTAATCCTGCCATGCCAGATCTTAATAAGGGAGATGGGCCTCATTAAAGAGCGCTGGCAGTAGCCTGGGTCTTCAGCTGCCCTGGGAAAATTGGGGCAGGAAGTCTGGCGACCTAAGGAGGGGGCTGGGGACACCAACCCCTAGGTCTGAGGGAGGAGGGGATGGGGACCTGGACTCCTGAGTTTGAAGGAGGAGGGGCTGAGAGCCCAGATCCTCCCCCTTACACACACCCCTCTTAAATACCAGCTAGGGCACCCTGCCCCTTCCTGCTCTCAGGTAACCCCGAACCCTGCAAAACCCGGGACAGTCGTCCAGACTCGACCACGGATGGCGGAGGTGCGGGACGGATACGCGCTGGGTGGCCGGATGGAGGCCGAGAGGCCCTCAAACCCCCAGGAGCTGCCGCCCTCGCCGCGGTCGCCGCCACCACCGCAGTCGCCTCCACCTCTGCCGTCGCCTCTGTCGCCTGCGGCCCCCGAGATCCCCGATCTCCCTCAGCCCGAGCCGTCTGAGGCCTACGCCCGGCAACTGCTGCTGGAGGAGTGGGGCCCGCTGAGCGAGGGCCTGGAGCTGCCCGATCGCCTCACCTGGAAGCTGCTGCTCCTGCGGCGGCCGCTGTACCGCAACCTGCTGCGCGCGCCCAACCCCGAAGGTGCCAGGAGCAGCTGGGAGGCACCACCCGGACCCTCTGTCTCTTCATCTTTCCGTCTCTCTTTCCTTGTCTCTCCGTCTCTGTCTCTTCATGGCTCTGCATCCCTCTCTGTCTTACTTTCTGTCGTCGTGTCTGTCTGGCTGCGTCTCCATGTCCCACCTTGCATCTCTGTTTTGCCTCTGTCTCTATGTCATAGGTCTCTGTCTCTCTTTATCTCTTCCTCTATCTCTCTGTCTCACTCCTGGATCTATTCCCGCTCCTCCTACCTCATCCTGCCTGTGTTTCTGTCGCTCTCTCTTGGTCCCTCTTTTTGTCCTTTGACTCTGTCTCGCAACTGGCGCTTGCTCCCTCCCAGTATAACCCCCAACCCAGGACATTCCCCTGGTTCTCTTCGGACCCCTCCTCCTTCAGACCCAGGGACCCTCAATCATCTCGGAGGGCACAGGCTCCTGAGCTTCCAGCTTAGCCCTGCGGGGTAGAGCGACCACCTGTGGTCTGGGCGGCGGCCTGAGGCTCCCTTACCTGTATGTACATTTCAGGCATCAACATCTATGAGCCAGCGCCTCCTACTGGTCCCACCCAGCAACCCCTGGAGACTCTGGGTGAGTGCTTGGGGGCTGAGCTGCTCAGGGTGGGGGGTGGCCTCCAGAATGGGGTGTTTTCAACCTCGTGTCTCCCGACCTGCCAGGCAATTTCCGTGGATGGTACATTAGAACTGAAATGCTCCAGAAAGATCTAAGGTGAGTCACTGGGGCTGGTGTGGCCTGTGTTCTATTCCCTCGCTGCAGGACCTGGGGAACTGCCTGATCAGGATTAGTCAGAGGAGAGAACAATTGTGAAACACACAGCAGAGGGTCGGGCTATGTCTGGCTAGCAGCTGTTATAGTTTTTGTTGTTGTTGTTTGTTTGTTTTTTGAGACAGGGTCTCACTTCTTCGCCCTCAGTAGAATGCCATGGCATCACAGCTCACAGCAACCTCAAATTCTTGGGCTCAAGTGATTCTCTTGCCTCAGCTCCCAAGTAGCTGGGACTACAGGCACTCATCCCAAGCCCAGCTATTTTTTTAGAGATGAGGTCTCTCTCTGGCTCAGGCTGGTCTCGAACTTGTGAGCTCAGGCAATCCACCCTCCCAGAGTGCTAGGATTTATAGGCCTGAGCCAACAGGCCCTGGACAGTAGCTGTTATTGTTATTGATATTCTCAGCCTCTTTCCCTGAGAGGGGAAGAGCAACAAAGGCCACCACCTGTCCTCCAATGAACCAAGCCTCGCCTCTACACAGTGGATGAGGCAGTGTAACTCAGCACTCAGTCACACACACCCATGTTTGGATCCTGGTTCTGCCACTTCTTTATAGTTTAACCTTGGGCAAGTCTCCATCTTAAGCCTCAGTTTCCTCATCTGCAACACAGATGACACAGGGTTCAATGTCATTGCCCTCAGAGGGGCCGGTGGGGGAGCTTAGACTATAAAGTGCTGAGGGTCTCCAGGTATCCTGACAGCATTTAGGCCGACCTGGGGACCCTCAAGGATCCCAGCGGATCCCAGACCTCACCTCTCCCACTGCCTCTCCGCAGCTGGACAGTGAAGCAGCAGTGTGTGGACCTTCTGGCCGAGGGCCTGTGGGAGGAGCTGCTTGACGACGAGCAGCCAGACATTACGGTCATGGACTGGTACGTGCCTGGCTCCACCAGCTCGGCCCCTCCATTGTGCAGGCTCCCACAGTGCCAGCCTTGTCCCCCCCAGCCCTGAGCTCCTCACCAAGCCCCTGCTGGTGCTGTAGGGTCCAGCCCTGCCCTCCACTTTGCCCCCTCCCCGAATGTTTTAGGGTTTTGTTTGGTTGGTTGTTTTTTTGTTTGTTTGTTTTTTATTTTATTTTATTTTATTTTTTGAGACAGAGCCTCAAGCTGTCCCCCTGGG